GCCATAATATCGTACTGGCAATATTGACCGCTAGATTGCTGCATTTTGCTTACAAAATACATATTTTTTCGATAATCAATTGATTATTTGTGCTTCTGGGCATAAAACAAGGCTGCATCGTAACGATCCATTTTGCTTTGTTCCAAAAAATTCTATTGATTCGGTTCAAACATTTGAAAAAATTAACGTTAAAGCAGTTAGCAGAATAAATTTTATTTCATTTTTATTCGAAACCAAATGCTTTCGTTAATGTTAAACATTGAAATTGAAGCGTGTTGTTGTTTTAAATTAACAAAAACAATTTTATTTCATTTTGATACGAAACAAAATCATTAAAAATCATAAATTTTATTTTTATATCAATAAAATACCAAATAGTTGTTAGTTCGGCATCTCTGGCATAACATAATAGATCTAGAAACTTCTCTTTAATTATGCGTTGCTTTTATTATCAACACAACTGTATTCTTGTGCCAAAAAGGGAAATACGCAATTTACAGTTAATTGGTGTTCTTATCAAGCAAACTCGCAATTGAAATAAATAATTACCTGTAATTAAGCTTTAATAGCTGAAAACAATGAAACGGGCATAATGAGCGTTGAAATTATATGTACAAAAACAAATACTGTACATTGTATTATGTAATTGGAAATCGTGTGGGTAAATTTGACCGGACGCTGAGATTTTGTTACTCAACAAGTGAGTATTTAGATGTTATGCTTACATAGGACTTTTATATAATACTAACTGTATCCTGCATGGGATATTTTTTTTTGTAGCTTTATTTATTCAATACTTGTGGGAATACAACATTTTTGATTTTACCATTGACATTTGCCCACTTTCCGAGGAGAATATTAGTTTTCCTGTTAATCAAAGCATTGGTGGCCACTAATGTATAAGAATTTTAAGTAAGTCGCACCATAAGTAAGACCTTTTGCCAATAGTTCATTCCCCGATCCACTTACTGAAATTTTGCTTACTTGTTAATTTCAAGTCAATCGGTCGGTAACTTTTGGAGATTTTTTGAGATTACTGGATTTTTCCAAACGGACATTAGATTATATATAGGAAGAAGAAGAAAACTAGCGCAACCAGCAAACTTCTTTTCGCAACATTTTAATAATAATAATAATAAGACAATGTTTAATGCGATTTGTTTGAATGATATTGATTTTCTCACCTTACTCACCTTACAACAGACAACGTAAAACTGAAATTGCGGAAACGCGGAAATTCAAGATTAATACGACATACTTCCTGCCATTGGTCGGCGAACTACTGAATTGGAATGGAAGATCTGTTCGAATAATCGGCATTGCTGGTATAAGGACTTCCCTTGTTTGAACTCATCATTGACTATCGTTACACACAACAGTATGCATTTGCACAATTTCAAATTATTCAGATTTAGCAACGTGCTTATAACAAAAGGTAAAAGAGTTCGCCATGTCGTATGAGCAATTTTTTTCTTACATTTTTCACCTTTTGACTAAATGTTGCCCATACGACATGGTGTTTTTTCTTTTATAGTACAATATATTTCATTGAAGAATTCTTAAACTTCAACCCTATCGAGACGGCACATGGACAACTGCTTAGAAAAAAAATTTTGTTATATTATATTTTTGGTGATATGTTCCTAATTAAAGCAATTGGAAGGTTGCAAGGTCTGACACATGGTAACGAGATATGAGAAGTTGCTTAAAAGCAACAAAAAATTCACGCAGTCTAGTGAGCTCAACAATAGTTTGAGATTGGTTGGCGTAAACCTTGTTTTTCAGTTATTCCCTCAAAGAGAAGTCCAGGGTGATTAAATCAGGAGTATTGGCAGATTTGCCGCGATGTTTTTTCCGATATGCACGTTGAGTTAACACAATGGAACGACTCTTTTCGATGTAAAGTGTCACTATTTCAGCGCGTTGTTTCGGTGTGTGGCGATCCATGGCAAAAATTGTAGTGAATTGGTTTCCAAAACATATCTGATGCAATCGCTCGGTTGGTAAGTATGAAAGTTATTCAGCTTTGACATACCGACGTAAAAGATTGAGCATTTGGAGATTTTTATAAATTTTTCTATTACACTTTTCAAAAATTAGTCTTTTCTGACGCGATTTACTCCAAAATGCTCTCTTTATAGTTGGGAGCAGGTGCCAGGATAGTGGTCTGGATATAAGCCCCAATGAAACCTTAATTTTATAATTTTTTAAGCCACCTAAACTATTGGGTGTGGAGATCATCCTCTATTCTGAAGTCAAATATCTCGGGATAGTTTCCGATAGCAAACTAAACTGGAGTCTGAACATGACAGAAAGATCAAGGAGAACTACAATATATGTGTAATTTACGCCTGCAAAACGGCGATAGGAAAAAGATGAGGCATAAGACCGAGTATTGTGTACTGGATCTATATTTCGTTAGTTAGACCAATCTTAATCTACGGAGTTCAACGATAGGCTGCTACCCTGTAACAAGAGTACTGCCATCAACTAGCTCAAACGCACTAATGACTCAACTTCCTCCCTCTGCACCTATACGGTCCAGATGAACAGAAGTGCCATCGGAGTGCTTCTACAATCTTTTCTCGTCGAGAATCCCAAACAAACATGAGAGTCAAACCACTATTTTGGAACTCTTTGCAATCATAGAGGTTGCTCATAGAGATTTTTCAATTCTATGGCAGAAATACAATACAATCGGTTACAAAATATACTCCTACAGTCAAGCTGCCATCAGCCCTTTACAAACGTAACTTTACCACGTTAAAAATAACCAAAAAATACAGAATAAATCTGAACAAACTGATCACAGCCGTGATCTGGGTACCTTTACATAGTGACATCCCAGGCAATTGACGCAACAGACGAACTGCCAAGGGAAGGAACACATCTACCCACAATAAAACTTGCACGTGATGCTGGTGTACCTCTGTCCACGGCAAAATACATGCTTAAACTGGCCTTTAAGAGAGAAGCAAACACAAGGTCAGCCTCAGCGGAAATTGGAAATCTAGTTGCCTTTATAAGTCATACGAAATGGTGGGCTGTTAGTGACCAGCAAGTCAACTCAACAAGACGACGATTTGCAAATTAAAAAGGTCTTAGTCGTCTCGAAAAACTGTCCCCAGTAGATCGTCGCACTTCTTCTGCTGATAATAATCTTGCTCCTGTTGTAACATTTGCAGGTACTCCAGTTTATACCCATGTTCACTTTGAACAATGGTCAATTTTCATATAAAATTTCCTCGTCCTAATAACAAAAATTTTTTAAAATTTAAGTAAACTGAACCGTTTCCAATCGATAATTTTTTTCCAGAATTTAATTATATATTCTAATATTTAATCAATCGAAGTTTCAGATATGGCAAAGTCACTTCATAAGTGCAATAATTACTTAGAATCCAACTTTAATGCCGTAACTTATGCTGCATTATGCGGATTTGTTTGTTTTTGGTTTACGAAGCGAAAGGACCCTCCCGAATACCGGTTTAACTCCGAGATTGAAGGCGACTTGCTGCGGTACAGAGGTCTACTGCAATCAACAGTTTTCTTTTTTTCATCTTTTTTCAGCCACCTTAACGAATTTCCGGTGTTGGAAACGGTGATGCGAAATCGTTCAAAATGTCTTCGAGATCCAGCTGAAAAATCCGAAAAGATCTATACAGCCCAATCTTGTAAAATTCTTTCGGTGGGTTTGACTGTTTGAAGGGCATCAGTTCCTTCTCAAATGAGCTTCTACAGGAATATGGATTCGATCATTGCCCACTACTAAGAACCACGCTGCTCCATTTTTCCGGCTACAATCCCACTGACCTAACATAACAAATACCTAGAGAATCCGTTTGCCGTTGAGCTGCCTAAAAGACGAACAGTCCCAAGCATCGAAAACTATGTACACGATGTGGGTATACCTTTTTTCTCTTGGTTAAGTACCCGTTAAGATGGACTTGTAATATAACCAGGCAGATCTGGAAATTGATCAAAGAGAATATTTCTAAGTCTTTATTTTTTCTTCTAGCAAGAAACTGTTTAAAGTGGACTAAAGACTCCCATCACAGCTGCAGACAATTATACTTGAAAGAGTCGGCAGAGCATTACCTCTACCACTGTGAGGGCCTAACTGCGGCCCGACATCGCTTTTTCGTTGATGATCTTCGTTTCGATGACTATTGGTGATTTGAACCTCTAGGAGGGTTAGATATCTCTCTTCATACCACCAGCAGGTGTTCAACTCAATTCAGCTCAACACAACTAAACTCAAATCAGCTCAACTTGAACTCGCCTAAACTAAACTCAATTCAGCTCAACTCAACTTGAACTCATCTCAACTAAACTCAACACAACTCAAACTTATCTCAACTAAACTCAAACTCATCTCAACTAAACTCAAACTCATCTCAACTAAACTCATCTCAACTTAACTCAATGCAACTCAACTCAACTCAATTCAAACCAAGTCAAACTCATCTGACTCATCTCAACTCAAAATCAGCTCAACCCTAATTCATCTCAACTCAACGAAACTCATTTCAACTTAACTCAATTCAGCTCAACTAAACTCAACCCAACTCATACTCAACTCAGTTCATATCAAGTCAGACTCATCTCACCTCAACTCAACTCAAACTCATCTCAACTCAAACTCATCTCAACTCAATTCAACTCATCTCAACTCAATTCAACTCAACTGAGCTCAATTCAACTCAACTGAACTCAACTCAACTCATACTCAACTCAATTAAACTCATCTCAACTCAATTTAACTAAACTCAACTCAACTCAGCTCAACTCAACTTATCTCAACTCAATTCAACTAAACTCAACTCAACACAAACCATAGCCAACGCCATGAATTGAAGTTCAATATTAAACCTTCGATATTTGTAATATATAGATGTAAGTAACAGATAAACAACTATACTCGTAATCAATATCAACTTTCCTTATTTATGTACGAGCGTGCAATATAAAGGAAAAATTTTCAATTGCATTTTACTCACCCCAGCATAATTAGACGATAACAGTTTTTCGACGACGGTACACTATCATCACATAGTGACAAACCAATACCGGTACCGTTTGCGAAATCCTCCATCGCTTCGATAACATCCAAATTACCATCAGCCATCGGTGGGTGCAATTCTGTGTGGCTTACCACACGACTGCTGGTCGTAACCGCACCATTGCTACCGCTCGCGCCGACATCATCCAAAAATGTGACCACATGCGATGCGGTTGTCGAAGCGATTGGTGTTGTTGTCGCTGCTGCTGATGGTGGCGGTACTACCGATGATGGGGTCATTATGCCGCCACCATTGCTGCCACTCATGTCGCGAACGTGGTCACGTATTGTATCCGAAATGGAATTGGTTAGATTCTTCAGCGGGTCATTTATGGCCACCTCGGCATAGTCATTATTATTACTACGCGCGCAAAACCAATTTCGGCATCGATCCATTTTACCACCATCAGCAACATCAAAGGCGCCCATCAACTGGCGTATACGCAATGCGGCGAACGAAATGTATGTAGAGGCAGTAATCGATATGGCGAATTCAAAATCGCGTGCTATGCTGCTGCTAATGCCGTCGAGCTATGCACACGGTCATTGCGATATTTTTGTAATTTCGCAACTTGAACAACAACAAATGAAAGTTGAAAAAAAATATATATATTATATAAACCGTAAGTAAAGTAAAGCACTAAACAACAACACTACCCCACGCGGCGATCAAAATAGATTACACTCAGTTTTGCGAAACATTATTATGACACAGAGTTAATTGCAAAAGTGGGAGTATTTAAATTTCGGAATTTACAAAGGCTTAGCCTTTTTGAAGTTGCCACAGCGCACTTTGAGCGTTCAATTTTGTTTCTAAATTTTTTTTCCGCTTTTATTTATAAAAAATACTATTTTAATTAAAATTTTCACTTCCTGTAGAATCAATTTATTGGTTTTCTTTTTTTTTGTGCTTCACGGCGCATCGGTATTGTCCGGTGTTCACAGAATTCATGGCGACTACGGCTGTCGACACTCGAATCTGAAATGATAAAAGTGCAAAGGATGTATTTATTATAAATATTTTATGTATTTTCGTTAAAAAATTCACTAAAATAATAAAATCGATGTTTTTTAGAAGACCTAGCCAAATTTTATAAGGATTTCTATATTTTGTTGGATTTTGATTTCATTAAAGACTAATGAAAGGGATTAATCACTTCTTTCTTACCCAAAGTCTTCCAAGAAAATATGAATAGAATTTAATCGAGGTCACTCCTCTGATCTACTTATGCTTATATTTAATAACGTTTGACGTATAATATAAGTTTGTATCCAAATTTTATTATTTTTTGTTGAAAACTTTTTCGAATGGGTCGGCTCTTGAATTGCTTTCCCTAAAAAAATTATTTCAAATCATACCCGAATCACATTCACGTTCTCGTGTACTTCATTTAAATATCTCAAATCGTTTAGAAAAAATTCAATGGCAAAAAGAAAGCACAGAAGATTTGTCTGCATAAGGATTGCACCCCCAGACTAAGAAGTCTCACTGTTGAGACGTTCATTCGTAAGCTAAGAAGCATGGATTGTGATGTAATGGCATATTTTTATGATATTCTCCTCACGTCGCACAGTGGGGTAAGTGATGCTTAAAACGGAGATCAATATAGAGTTATTTTGAGAAATGCTTAAAAAGACGAGCTTCATTAGTTGCACGATTAAATGAGAGTGATGTTTTATTCAAATCAAATGGTAAACATAAAAGTAAATTCAAGATAAGTTTCTACAAAAGAGGGATGTATTGAAAGTGTACTTATGTTATTGCACTTCTTGTGACGTAAAAATTTTATTTTTAGTTCATTATTCATAAAAAAGTAAAAAAAGTAATGCAAATCACTTAATGATGATAATTTGTAAGCATGAAAATATTTTTAACAATAAAGTGTGAAAGTTATAATAACTTGACACTGTTTAATGGGGCTTCACGGGATTAGGATGGGCTTTTACTCTAACGATTTCTGCTGCAGCTGTAGGGACGAAGAAGAGGAGGCGACCATCGAACACTACCTCTGCCACTGTCTACCCTTGACATCGCGCGACACAAGTTTCCTGGAGAAACACTTCTTCGACTGTCTCGCTGAGTTGGCCTCAGGAAATGTCGTTGCCTATTTAAGGCACACGAAATGGTTCGATCATTTAAGAAAGTGAAGGCAGGAGCCTCAGCGGTATCACAATGAGCCTATTGGCCTAATCAGCCGCATCAACTCAACACCAGAGTAAGACAAACATGCAACCAATAACTATCATGCCACATCTGACGCATACTGAATGTCAAGCCGCGACAAAGAAACCTGAAACCATTTCTGGCTAAAAGCGGACTTCTCCGCGTCAATGGCAGACTAGCTTCTGCCACACTCAGCCATTATGAGCGGCACCAAATCATCATACCGAGAACATCAAAATTTTGTCACTTTCGTTTGCAGTTCCTACACGCACTGTTTCTTCATGTAGAGACGCGCCTCATGCTTCAAATGGTCAGGCAAGAATACTTGCAAGCTAGAACTCTATACAAGCAACAAACGCGTTCCCTGCTAATGGCAGTTCTACCCCTACCATTTTCTATAACTGGAGTGGACTTCGCAGCGCAGATTTTATAAAGCCCTCAGTTCTGAGATCCACTACACTCACCCAAGGCTATGTTGCCGTATTCGTTTGTTTCGCGATGAAGGCAGTACAGCTTAAGTTATGCTCTGACCTTACCACAGAGGCAGTTAGAGCTGCATTGGCCTGATTTGTGGCCAGGCGAGATTATCCCGCCAAAATGATGACCGAGATAGGGAAAACTTTCATTAAAAAACATAAATATGGTTTTCAACAACTTTTATTTATTTAAGGCTAAAATTTTATTTAAAATATATAAACTGTTTCTTCAACACCATAATCATATTCACTCTCCATCACGATCATCTCTAAAGCTGCTTCCGGAGAGTTCTGCCCATTTTTGTGGTAATTTTCTTCTGGTAGTCAGTAGACAGTCTCCATATTCATTATAATAGCACTGTCTGCAATGTCTAGAAATTCCTTGAAACTTCATCTGAGCTGCAATGCGACTTAACCGAGGAGAAACCGCGACACAGGACACACTTAAGTACCGAACTCCCTTCTTCGAAGGTGTGGAGAACGCCTCCTCAGTTTTCTGGGTTGACCTTAACTTTTCAACAAAAGCTCCAGTGAGAAACAAATGGAAAAGTCTAACTGTTCGAATCTTAAACTAAAAGCAATTTTTACCGACGACTCAAAGCTGGATTGAAGGATAGATGGTGGAATTCATTCAAAGCCAGACCATTGTGGCGTCCCTCAATCAGCGCTGACTGAAATGACTTTACACTCTATCTAAAATAATCCATTTTGATAGATAACCTCAAACCTGAAAGGTGGTAATAAGTTGAATAGAAATCTTAATCAAACTAAAAACTATGTGAGAAACCTCCGTGACTTGAGTATCCGTACAGAAATACAACCCAGGAAACTATTAGACCGATGAACTAGCTAGAAGAGAAAAAACACTCACCCTCACCTTCTTTTTAGTTAAATTACCTGCTAAAATTCAACTCCACTCAAAAGATCAATGACGGATGACGTGGTGAAATAAGACTGATCCGGCCATTGATCAAAGAGAAGAGAACAGGATCTCCTACTTCTCGTTTTAATCGGTGATTTTTGTTAGTGACTCCCGAAGAATTTGCCACTTTTCTAATGACTTCTGTCGTGGATACAGAGACACCGACGAGTACGAGTTGGAAAAGTATACGTTTTTCAGATTTTTTCAGGTTTTAACTGGTAGCAAGGTGATAAGGACATTTCCTTCACAGGCCCACCATGAGCAACACAAAAGCGGGCTTAAGTGCGACTGATCAGGGCTCCGAACTCAGGCAACTTCAGCAACTAGCTATGTAACTATTACATTTGTGTGCATAATTAGACTATTATTCTCTTACATATACCTGTCGTATGAGTGATTTCTGTGACTTTAATGTTTTAATTGGATTCAATTTTAGTTCAGCGAATTTAATTAAACAAAATGAAGGTGACTTGTGTATCAAAATAAACTCGCCAGAGGCCATTTGCAAGAGATTTTAGATATTTAAATATCAAATTTTTATTCTGTTCGTATGTAATGAAACATACCTATATATTGTAAATAACGTAGCACAGCTCCACACTGGCTTATAAATATTCATATATATAATATATAAAATAAAAGCTTTACAATATTGCATTGTGACCAAAACTTCTAACGATAATTGGAATTTGAAAAGTTTTTTATTTACAAATGGACGACAAACAAATTCAATTTCGCGTAAATACCTGCAAGCACACACACACACACACACACACATGTAACATACCAATACATACGCTGCTTTACACATTCCACTCTATTAGTTGCCGCATTTGTAATTGTTTCATTACCATTGGCATAATTCCCCGTAATCACTTTTGATTGTATGTGCGCAAAGCACAGTTTGAAATTTCGAATTTTTTTTATTCTAAAATTCAAAATATTGCAGTAAAAAAAAATTCAACATAACAAAGACCTGAAAAAGAATATAAAAATTATTTTGATTTAATCTATCTCTGTTAAGGTCTTAATGAGGATTTCACCACGTTGAATAAGTGCGCTCAATTCTCAAGGTTCTTAAGTGGCTACATCTAGATAGAATTTACAAAAAAATCGATTTTTTTTAAATTTCATATTCCTAATGTACAAGTATTGAAGTAAATACTCTTAAAATGTCAAAGCATTTGAAAGCGCTTTTGAGACTTTAACCTCGCTTTTCTCAAAATTATGATTTTCAAGTCGGTTACCAGGTTTTCGGGACCGACTGAACCGATTTCTGAACAATATTTTCTAGTACTCAATCAAAGCTCTTCCATTACCTATGAAAAGTTTTTTTTTTTTGACACGCATGATTTTTTTTTGAAAAACCGCCATTTTGTTTAAAACAAATTTTTGTCGTATTCCTCTGCTTAGTCACAGGATGATATATTACTTTAAGGGACCCGTTTGATTTTTTGCAGCTCAGATGATTCACTTTCGGATTGATTGGTCACCGCAAAACCCCTTTTTGGGGGGAGTTTCAGGAGATCTGCTGTAGCAGCTTCGAAAACTGTTATTTTTATGAATAAAAAAATTCCAACTACTCTTTAAAGGTACCATAATAGGTATACAAATGCTTTAAAAAATAATGTCAAAATTTTCCTCGTGAAAAATGTCTGAAAAACCTCATTTTTAGCGCTTCTAATTAGATGTAAACCCTCAAGTTTCGTCCAATCTTCGCAGGTGCTCCGTAGGGTAGTGCTTTTGAACTAATATTGCATACGACAAAGCAAACACATCACCTTTTGTGCCAGAACAGCATCTTAAACTAATGGGAGAATGCCCAGCAAAATGGCGTATCAAAATTTATGAAAAAATGTGCAAACCCATCACCTTTACTTTAAGGCCAAAAATACGCCCCATCGTCAAGCTCAACAATGTGCCTATCCCACAAGCGAACGAAATCACATACCTTGGCATGCACTTGGACAGGCGTTTAACTTGAAGACGTCACATTTCCGCCAAAAAGATGCAGTTGAAGCTTAAATTGTCCAGCTTGAATAGGCTTTTAAGCAAG